CACCGCTCAGTCAGCTCCCCTGATTTACATACATACATATATATATATATATACTTGTGAATGGGATCGTAAGCCAATTGATACCTAGAAAGTCATTTTGTCTGGGACTTCTTTTGAGAAGAACGAGAGATTACTAAGGGTTTGACTCTGGCATTTTCATAAGGTCAACAAAAGGGACATAGAGTCATTGTCTTAAGCTAGCTAAGCATGGAAGACTGTCCGATAAGTTGACCTGATTAGATAGTCGGTCCAGAGAGTTAGCATCTCGGGGCTCGACATACGGGTCAGTCTTAAGGCGTTCTACCGTCCGTATGCCTATGCTACGGCGATCGAGAAAACGCCCTCGGCTGGCCTACCTCTGCGATTGCATGTAAAAGCCTTCGCACGTGGGTCAGTAGCTCAGCAGGGATACGCCCACCTAAGGGATGGTGACAGCTCTCGCCGATGGAGGTATGTTGTACCTCGCGGGATCCCTAACCTGTCGTAGGGAGCCGCGAGAGGTATAGCACGCGCGCACGGTCGGAGTTGGTATTTCATAGGGTGACAAAAAAAAAACTCCTGCGTGACACGATCGTGAGGTCCGACACAAAACTACTTTGCGTCTAGGGTGTGGGACCGCCGCGCGCGACAGGTGGCGCCGTTGCCGGAGATCTCGCTTCTAGCCAAGGTCCTTAGTGAACGAACTCGGGTAAAAGCAAGATCCAGACAGAACGACAATTATTGAAGATTCGGTAATTAACTAAGACTCTAATAGCTGGTGACGAGTAGTTGCTCCAAGTAAATCGGTGAGTAAAATAGGGACTAAATACACATAAATACGATTGCCCTACTTATACTAGGAGTTAGCGAATATGGCACCTAAGGGGCGTGGGACAGGAACTGGTAGAGGAAGAGGCGGCAGACAGGGGAAGGCGCCTGAGAGGCCTGTGGACTTGACTAGAGATAAGGGAGAGTGGAAGGAAGATGATGAAGGACTAGAAGAAACGGACGAAGGGTTAAGGGCGAGACGATATCGAGAGGGGAGGCGCATGCATACCCCAGACCCTGATGAGATGGCTTACTATTCGTATAGGTACGCAAGGCGTTACGGAGAATCTCCGCCACGCTTCGAGTTGCCTGGTCGCTCGCATCATAACCCTTACCCACCGTCTCAAGAGAGGCAGCTGGCCGTCCTTCCCACGCCTCACCAACAAGGAACCCGCGGGGCACCAAGCGTGTTTGATCCTCTTGTAGTTGCGCAGTCTGCGTCTCCTGATAGTCCTGATAGGAGGATGTGCATATCGCTTATAATGTTTCTACTATGTCAAATAGAGATTTGTGGGTTAATAACATACTTGCTGTGCAAAAAGATTATATAAAGGTTCAAAAGGATCAAAGGAGATAATGAGATAGAAAGGGGAATCGGTCAGATCTTGGGATTATAAGTCTACTAGCTAAAATAAAAGAGATGTGGGCTGGATTGTGCTGTGTGGTAGGTGGAGTATACCAAAGAAAAGAAGATGGCTTCTGCCCGATATCAAGTCACGATCAGAGAGCCCGTGCAAATGAGGCGTGGCCTGATGATGAATCTGCCAAGTCGTCATGAGGAGAACGAAAAAACGGGGTATTGTTAGGGGATTACTGTAGAGGAACAAACTTTCATTTGGATCGAGTCTGGATAGGTTAGAGGCAAAAATCGCGCAGTAGAAAGGGTTACCGTATATCTTTCTGTGGAGAAACTGCAAACTATCATAATAAATGTAGTCTTAGGAACTGATCGACCGCTTTCCAGACTATTGTGGATAGCAGAATCCGCGCTCGAGCTTAGGGGAAGAGATGCAAGTTTGAATGGGTTTGAAGGAATGATAGGAACTGTGAGGGTAAGAAAGGCTGGCGAATTTCTTCCGCCAACAGCATATCTAAGAGGAACCCTTCCTATGTTCATCGTAGATGCAACCTTCGGAGGGAGGACCAGAGTGGAGAGGGCTGCGGAAGCAGCTATGGCAGTACCTGAGAAGGAATGTCACGCATCTACCCCTCTCCTGATATACTACGTGTACTTAGAAATAGGGCATTTAATTACAGAAAGGGATCCGCAAACCATACTAGCTCGGGTTGACTTATATGCACGTCAACACGATTGGGGAAATAGGCATGTTTACTGGGAGGAACTGAAGCAGGAGATCATAGATCAAATAAGAAGGAATGCTCAAGGAAGGCTGAGATAGAAAATTATTGAGAGATGGGAAATCGAGTGGTTACTAAGAAAAGAAAGGTTCTTTCTTTGGCTGTTGTAACAGGAATACCAAGATGACTCATTTAATGTGGTTCGTTGATCGGAGTTTTCTGATCAACCTACCCGAGCCAAAGGAAGGAGGGGTTAAGATAACGCTGCCGAAGAGAACGATAGATCTGGATGAAGAAATGGACTCATGGTATGGGATACCAATAGGACCAGAAGCCTTCCTTTGGATAGAAACCGGGTGGACCGCGAAGGAAAGATAGGCAATAGTAAAGGTGACGCTTTATCTATCGGCCCTTCTCTGGAGGGCACGCGCGATCGATCTTGCGATAGGAAAAAACCGCCCCGTCTCTAGATACGTGTTGATAGCCGGAATGACCCTTGAAGCATTTTCAAGAAGAATGTATTGGGGAGAAGAAGGAAAAGTTATAAAATCAATCGAAGCAAAGTGGGCCGCTGAGCTCGTATATCCAACAAGGTATATTAAAACCACGTTTCCGAGCTTTATAATTGATGAAGCATTTTGGGGGATTGAGAATGTAGAACGGGCAGTACTCGCAGCCCAATCTGTTTCAGAGATGGGCTTCGAATTCGAGGCTTCGGAAGTTGTTTACCGTCTATACTTAGAGATGGGACCGAAACTAGAGGATAGGGATTTTTATAACATACTATGCGTGGTAAACACGTATCTACGCATCTACCGTTTGGAAGATCTCTCGACCTACTGGCGCAATCTTTGCCGGGAGACATGTATCGAAGAATTTATAGATGAGATCTCTTCTTTATTTGGTATGGTTAGAAGCTTTTGGCATGGGGACTGGGTGCCCCTAGAAGAGATACTCGGATGAGAGAAAAGAGGTATGGAAAGTCATATAGCGTAAAGAGTTACGTCAAGATAGTGACAAAGAGGATGGATCAATGATCGGTTTGTGTGTCTTAACAGGGTCTACGGTTTAGCAGGAACCAAAAAAGAAAAAGGGAAAGAGATGGGCGAAGCCAGCGCCAATGGAGATCCGCCAATCACCGCGGCAGAAATCGCCAAGTTGCTCGAGAAGAGGACGATAAAAAGATCTAACTTACCAAGGATAGACATCTTCCCATTCAAAGGGGATAGGGGAATGCACCTCTGACGTGGAAGAGGTAGTGAAAAAGTCCAACAGTGATTGGGCTGAGTTTAAGAGGGGCATGCAGAAGACATTTAAGCTAGAAGATGGTCTGCTCACAATTAACCATTTCTATAACATGAAAGAGATGACTTCACCACGATCATGGTATTCGCCAATACATTCGAAAAGACAGCCGAGAGGGTCCCGGGGCTGTTTGAAGAAATGCAGTGCGTCATTTTCCTAGGGAAATTCTCTGGGTATGAGGCAATGGAACTAACTCGAGGAAAAGCCGCTGGGAGAAAGACGACATAGGATACCATCAAAAGAAACATCGCGGCGGGAGACATGGACCAAGTGTTCCATCACCAAATCAAGGTCGAACGAAAGAAGAGAAAGGCAGTAGGGACGCTCCAAGGAACGGATAGTATACTTGGAGGAATGTTGAGCAATATGACAAATGAGATAAAGGAGCTTAGGGAAAGAGTGGCCCCGTCGAAAGTGTTAACAGTGACACAACCATCAGGAAAGAGGAGGAAGGAAGAGGGAGAAGGAGAGGAAGAAGTTGAAGAAGGGGAACCCGAAGGAACGGGCAAACTGACCAAGAATCAGAGGAAAGCTAAAAATATCGTTATCGGAGGACAAGGCTCAGGAAAGGGACGAGTTACTCAACAGGCGATAGTCCAGTATGGACATGAGCCATCAACAAGCACAGCGCAATATGGTCAATGGCCCGTGGGTCCGCCTATGGGAGCATGGCCTGGGTACTTCCCGATAGGGCCATAGCCTACGCAGGGTCCATATCCCATGTTACCGTAGAATCAGAATTTGGGAGGAGACCAAAACACGGGACAACTTCATTTAACAGGGCAAAACCAACCAGGATCGAGTCGCCAGGGTGGCCAAAACCAGAACAGGTCCCAAGGGCAAGGACAAGGACAAGGACGTGGAAGAGGTAGGAATGCTGGACCAGGGGAATGAGGAGCAAGAAATAGAGGAAGTGGGTACCAAGATGGAAACTGGGGACAGTTCCAAGGGGGTGCAAATCCGATAGGGCAAGAATACTAGTAGGGGTATGGTCGTGGTTACGACCAAGGCTATGTAAGGGGGTTTAGTAGAGGAAATTGGTCATAGAACGGACAGGGTTTTGGCAGAGGATGGATAGACTACAGTGAATGCGTTTGTACCCACTGTGGAATCAAAGGGCACACAGTAAAGCGATGCCACGTCAGGAAACTTGACGAGCGCGATGGGCTCATAACATCAAACATAGATGGCGAGGTGTTTGACAGAACAGGAAGGCCGATCGATCCTGAGATTTTGGGGGGCACTAGAGAAGAGACCCTTCGCATAGCCGCGCTAGGTCCCAACGTGTCGGGAATGTTCAGAATGTGGCAAGAAAAGGAAGGACCAGTCGTATGGGTGGAAGATGTAACTGAAGTAGAAGAAAAACTGAGCCGGATAGGGATCGAAGGAAGCAAGGAAAACGTACCCTTTGTGGAAGAAGAAGCAGAAGAGGATGACGTTAGGATTACCATCAGGGACACATTTGATAAGATGGAGGATCTGGTGAATAAAATGCAAAGGCTGCATTTGAGACTTCAAGGGATATGTAAAGAAGCGGGGAAAAAAGGGGCTGGGTGCCCGAAATATTTACCATGGGACGTGGAGGATCGGGAGATGGGCCAAATGATCCCAACCCAAGAATGTTGAGGGCCAACATGGCTGCAAAGAACAGTGGGGGTCAAAGAAGCGTAAAAGGAACGATTCCGTTCGCTACAAGAAGACCCGCAGGTGGGAATCCTCAAAAGGAACAAGCCCAGGCTTCCCAGCCAGCAGCAGAAGAACCACCTATCACAGTAGAGGGTGATGAGGATGAGGATGAGAAAATTAGGGAGGAAGAAGAAAGGCAGGTGGAGATAAGGGCTAAGAGAAGGAAAGGCGAAGCTAAGGAAGGAAGATCAARAGGGGATACGGGACCAAGCAAGAAGAGAAAGTACCAAACCTCGATCGAAGAAGAGGTGGATCTGGAAGACCTGGTGAATAAACTACTGGAAGGGCATAATGAACTATTAAACCTGAAAGAAATCCTCGCTTCAGCTCCTAAGTTAAGAGAGATGGTGAAGGCTAGGTTATCACGCCGGAGAGTAGTCTCGGTCCGGATGGGGGATTTGATTCCCAAAGAGGCAAACTGGAGTGTGGCAGGGAGTAAAATGGACTGGAAATTCGTAGGCACAGGGTCCATTGATGTTATGATAAAAGGAAAGATGTGTCCTGGGATGATTGATATCGGGGCAGAAATGAATACTGTAAAGGGAGAAACCGCGGTAAAATTTGGGTTGGAGGTGGATAAGAATGATTGCGGGTTCCTCAACGGAGCCAGCGGCAAGACCGGATACACCGGTGTCGCATCAAATGTGGTCATAGAAATAGGAAGAGTCAAGGTACGTACGTGTTTCTACGTCATGCCCAACTTGGACCTTCCAATATTGCTGGGAAGGTCATTCCTGTGCAGATCTAAATCACTCATTATGAACAAGCATGACGGCACTATGTTCGTCATCTTGTGCGATCCTGCCTGTGGGAACTTCGAGGTTATCACCTGTAGGAACACAGGTCCACACAGCTCGAAGAACAGGCTCAATGCATGATCTTACACGTTCGAGGAATCTGAGAATAGGAGGAGAGAATTGGAATGGGAAGAAGAAGAAGAGGAATCAGACGATGAAGAAGCCAAAGGACTTGTATTAAGTCTAACAAATATCAGTGACGCAGTGAAATTGGTATCGGCTTATAGGATGGTTGATCCAGACGCAGTCAAGGCACTCGCAGAAAGGATCCAAGATGATCCAGAAGGGGGAGGAGTCGATCTCATTTACCGGTCACCTCCTTCTACTTAGATGATAGTGCCGCATGCGCCGAATGCTCAAGCTGCCGGCCAGCATTTTTTAGGGGTGGGCTCAAGCAAGGCTCCAAAAGGAGGTACAAGACGGTAGATAAGAAGAGTCACCCTGTGCCAGTTCTAGTAAGTCAAGAAAAAAGGGTGTATTATGATCAGGAAAGAGAACTGATACAGCGAATGAGGGAAGGCATCCAGAACGGGCCTTGTCGTATCAACAATGAGACTGAGAAAGAACTGATAATAGGGGAACCTGGCTTTCTGACAAGGCAAGAGGAGGACTTGGTAAAATAACTGATACGTGAAAAACATGGGGCATATGCCTTCAACGATGATCAACGTGGGAGGCTGAATGTGGACAAAATAGAAATGATCCGCATTCATACTGTACCTCATGAGCCATGGAATGTCCGAGGGGCTAAGTATCCCAACCCTGAGGATCGCAGAAGGGTGGTAGAATACCTAGATGGGAAGATCTGCACGGATGTGGCAGGATACTCCAGTGGACCATATGCCTCTCTCTGGTTCTGTTTTGTAAAGCCAAATGGAGTTCTCAGATTGGTGCAAGACCTCCAACGACTGAACGCGGTAACTGTAAGGGATGCAGGGGGTCTGCCCAATGCGGACCAATTATCATAAGCTTGTGCAGGTAGGTGGATTGTGTCCCTCATCGACCTCTACTCTGGGTATGATCAGTTTCCAGTCTATCCGGCAGACCGTCCCATCACAGCGATGCACACGCCAAGGGGATTAGTCCATATGAATGTTGCGCCGCAAGGATGGACCAATGTTGTGGCCATGGTGCAACGAAGCATGATCAGGGTAATGCAGCCAATCAGCCCTCAGATCACCGAGCCATACATAGACGATCTTGCTGTCAAAGGCCCAATAGAGAAGAATGAGTCCGAAGTGGCTCCAGGGGTGAGAAAGTTTGTGTGGGAACATGTTCAAGGGTTAAGAGGAGTCTTATCTCTACTAGAAGAGTACAACCTCACCGTCAGTGGTGTGAAGTCAAGACACTGCGTGAAAGAGATAACCATTCTGGGATACATTTGCAACGAGCATGGTCGGCGCCCTGATAAGAAGAAGACCAATAAAATCCTCGAATGGCCTACTCCTTTCAGAAATGTGGGTGAAGTCCGAAGTTTTCTTGGTACCTGTGGGTTCTGGAGAAGATTCATAGAGAGATTTGCTAGTAAAACAGAGCATCTAAGGAAGCTAGTCCGGAAGGATCAAGAATGGGAATGGGAAAACCATCAAGAGGAAGTGGTGGAGGAATTGAAGAAGGAGTTTAGAGAGGGAGGTCTGGTACTAGGGGTACCAGACTTTGATGCAACTATGGAAAGGCCCTTCATAGTTGAGACTGACGCTGGACCAACCCCCCTGGAAGACGTCTTGATTCAGGCAGATAGTGGAGGAAAGGAGAGACCGTTGAGGTTTGAAAGCAGGACACTGAACTCAGCCGAGAGGAACTACTCGCAGTTTAAAAAGGAAGCTTTGGCGGTCCTGCACTGCCTAAGGATCTTTAGGCACTACCTCTTCGGGAGGAGGTTTGTATTTAGGATCGATCCTACGACACTTGTATACTCACTCAAGAATTTCTTGCCCTCAGATCCGACCATAGCCAGATGACTCACCTATATCTGGATGTTCGACTTCCAGTTAGGGCGGATCCCTGGAAACAAGAACAGGGCGGATGGCATGAGCAGAATTGAGTGGGGAAATCGGGGAGAATCTAATGAAGAGACGCCTCCGGTAGACGGGTTTTTGGACGAAGAGGAAGATATGTGAACTTACGTAAACTGCTGGTTCATGTTTGTCGAGAGTAAGGAAATGAGGAGAGGAAATCTGATGTGGCATCCGCCTTCCGAATTTATGAGAGAGTCTTCCCTGATACTCACGTCATTAGAGGAAGAGGACTTGGGGCGAAAGAAACACGGAATGGACAATGGAGCTGACTCTGGCAGAGAACTATAGGATAATGGAGGAACCGCGAACGATCGAAGCGGGAGTCCAACAGACTGACGAACAGGTAGCCATGATGGGAAAAATGTACTACCCGACAAATTCATTGTTATAAGTCCAAGCGAATGATGAAAGAGGAATAGTGAAGGCCGATGAAATAATTATTGTGGATGATTACGAGTTTGATGAAGAGAAGGAAGGAGAGTTTGAACAAGAAGAAATTTCAGAAGAATTCAGGGAAGAGGAGTATGATGGGTCCTATTTAGAAATGGGGTTGCTCATCTCAGGAGATAAAAGAGAGAGAGAAGTAAGTGAAAAGACTCTCGGGATGAGAGACCACTATGTGGTAAGGGGTGGCCACTTGTTTATCAGGGATAAGAGGGGGCCGCCACGACGTGTCGTAAGTGGGAGGAATCGTCAGATTGACATAGTAGCTGCATTGCACGATGGGATAGTCGGGGGACATTGGAGTTTTGCGGCTACTTACAAAAAGGCGATGGAGCTCTACTACTGGGAAGGGATGTTTGAGATGACGCGAAAATACTGTGAGTCGTGTGTACCCTGTCAAATTCGATCGCCCATCAGGTACAAGGAACCCCTGCATCCTAGATATATCAAGGAAGTAGGGGCGGTTGTTCACCTGGATCTACTGGCTATGCCTCTAGGTCTTGGAGGATATAACTATATACGCCAGGGACAACCTTACAGGATTCGTTGATGGCAGGGCAATCAGGAACAAGACCGGGACAACGCTGACGGATTGTATTAAGGAATATTATCTCAGATATCCTTTCGTATTGGAATTTACAATGGACAGGGGGTCTGAGTTCACATGTGGGGAAGTGAAAGAACTGCTGAAGGAATTGGGGGTCAATGGCAATTATACGACTCGGGTTCATCCACAGGCGAATGCACTGGTTGACAGAGGTCATGGCACAATTACTAACTTACTGGCCAAATGGACCAGTGGGAAGCCGAATCTCTGGCCAAAGTTCCTAAGAACAGTGTTCTTTGTAGAGAACATCACTATAAAAAGGACGACCGGGTATGCACCTGCGACACTCTGGTATGGGCGTCACGCCACATTTCCTATCGAAAGCTTCCTGAAAACTTGGCGCAGCCAACAACTTGACTTTGGAGGAACTGCTAGATCTAAGGGCAAGGCAGATCAGCGTCACTGAAGAAAGGGTTCAGGAGGCAGCCATGAACGTTGCAGACAACAGAGGAAAGGATAAAGAAAGATGGGATAAGCTACCTAGAGTAAGACTCAAACCTCTACAAATTGGCGAGACAGTACTACTCTACGATTCCTCTCTGGAAATGCAGTGGTCGCAGAAATTGGACAAACGATGGCTAGGACCATTCAAAGTCAGGAGACAGGGACTTCATGGGGCATATGAGCTAGAAGAGATGGATGGGACGCCAATGAAGGACTGGGTCTAAGGATCTAAGACTGAAGAAGTTCCGAGTCAGAAAAGAGGTAAGCTCAGCTACGATAAGAAAGTTTGGATAGATTGGGAAGGTATTTAGGCATGCTTATGTGTATCGGTTCCTATGCGGGTATGTACCCAATTGTCCAAGGTTATGCTCATACATATATATATATATGTATGTATACGTGCATGGATGCAGAGGGGTATAAGTGGGGATATGTGTGTGTATATACGTTCATGTATATATATATATATATATATATATATATATATATATATATATATATATATATATATATATATATATATGAGATATATATATATGTATATATATGTGTGTATGGACGTGTATGTAAGTACCTGATAAAGGAGGATATTGTCAACTTGTGTTTAACCAGGAATGTTGCCTTGATGATAATCTGACCCTCGTCCCTTGCCATTTGCTCCTTCTCTGTATGCAGGCCTGACCCTTGGAAAGAAGAGGCCATGGCGCAGAGAGGAGCAGTAGCAGGGACCTCTGAACCTGCCTTGAGAAAGGGAGGGCAGAGGGGGGAACTGAGAGTCTCAAGGAACCTGGAGGAGCTGCCCATTTAGAGGGCTGGAGTCAACCTGCGATTTTTCCTACGAGACCTTGAGGAGTACGTATTCAGGAGAGAATGGGGTGACAGGGAGAAGATTGCGAATGTGAGAGGAGCAGGAATATACAAGAAGAAGATTGAAGGAGTAGTGGCAGGATGCACGAGGTGGAAGGTATGCAAGGTGAGGCTATGGAGAGACATGGGGGAATTTCCAAGGGATGATGTGGAGGATGACTTGAGGTTCGATGGAACCAACCTGGAGGACTTTGTTGAGAGCTTGCAGCTGACCGCTGAGAGGGGCGAATGGAGCGAGGAGGAAAAGCGAAAGCAGTTGATCGCAAGATCAGACAAAGGCGAAAAGGAGGAAGTAAGAGAAATTGTGGAAGGAAGTCGGACTTGGAAAAGGATAACGGCAGAATTGTGGATGACCTACACCCAGGCCAGGCAAGATCAGATAAAGAAGGAAAGACTGCAAAAGAAGGGGCTATGGATTGGAAGAGAAGTGACTGAGTCGCAGGGGAAGGAAAAAGAGAATGAAGAAGAGGATAATGTACCTCTGAAGAAGTTGAAGAACAAGGCAAGGGTCTCCCCCAAGAGCAGCAGCAAGGAATCTGAGCGGGCTGAGGGAGATGAATAGGAAGAGGAGAAGGCAGCAGAGGGCAGGAGAAGAAGCATGGGGGCCAGTATGGTATCAAGGAAGAAGAAACTTGGAAAGAAAATGGCAATTGAGAGTGGAAGGAAAGAAGTACAAGAAAGGGTGAGTGAAGAGGGGGAAGGAGTAGAAGAAGCTGAAGAGGGAAAGAAGGTCCAGGGAGGAGGCAAGGTTCCCAAAGTCAAGAGAACTGAGGGAAAAAGGCCGATTGGGGACAAGGAAGAGACAAGTGGGATAGGAAAGAAGGAAGAGGAGAAGGATGGTCAAATGGAGAAATTGATGAGAGATATGGAAGAAATGAGGAAGGAAGTGAGGGAATTGAAGAAAGAGAAGGAGGAATTGCAGAAAGAAATGAGCCAATTGAAGGTCACCCTGAATGTGTGGAGCAGAGAATTGGAAGAGGAAGTGGCCACAAGAGGTAAGATGGAAATAAGGGTGGATGGTCTGGTTTCTGAGGTCAATGTGCTAGGACAGGACTTTGACAATGAGATCTCAGAAAGAAAGAAGTTGGGACAAGAATGAGAGAAAAGATGGGAAGAGATATTGAGAGGAATGAAGGAATTCAGATTGAGTCGACAAGGGAAAGAGAAGGAAGCCACAGTGATGGTGGGAAGAAAAGAGGGTGAAGAGAAGGGGGCACAGACTGAGAAGAAGAAAGAAGAGCCTCCTGCACCAGAGAAGGGAGTAAGTGAGAGTGTGGCTATGCCTCTGCCAGGACAGGGTAAAAGGCAAAGGGAATCCCAGTTGGACTCACCAAAGGTGGCTGAAGATCAGGCTGAGACTTCAATCCAGCCAGACATAAAGAGAATCAAGCCTAGCATGGTTGGACAGAGATGTTTCTTCTGCGCTCAGCAAGGGCACCTCAGGGATGAGTGTTCCATTCTAATAATTTATATTAAGGAAGGAAAAACCAAATATGATAGTCATAAGAGATTGGTGGCCGGCACAGGGCAGACCATTCCCAGGATACCTGAGGGAGGCAGGGTAGCACTTCACAGGATACTGGGACTGCCAGTTGATTTCTAGGTAGAAATAGGTAGATGTTTTGAGTAAACTATGACTTGAATCGGCTTAAAAAGACAGTTATGAAAGAGAGAGAGGTGTAAATTAGAGCAAGGGGATATGTTTTTCTTCTTCAGTTGGACATGAGAACAGGAGTGAGACAAGTTGTGTGCTTTACTTCAGTCAGATGATGAGACTTAACATAGGAAGTAGTATAGGAAATGACATGAGAGGTACTTGAGGGATAGTAGAGTGGAGTGGTGATCTGCCTCTGTAACATACTTGTATTTATATATATCACTCAGGGGGATGAGCTGGTGGACACGACGCACTTGTCACATTGTGTGTGGGCCTTTGTCTTTGGTTGAGTATCTGATAACATGAGATCTCCCTTCATCTATCACTACTAAGACTCTGTTGAGATTTAAAGAGGTGATAGAGGAATGGGCGGATCTGTATTTCATGTGCAAGTTTGATGAGTTGTGAAGCTTCAAAAGTTGGGTTGAGTGTACATTTCTTGTTTGAGACCATGCCACAACATGGGTAGACTCCTTTGAGTCTTATCAATTCTGTTGCAGGAAATTCTTTGGCAATCTCTATGAAAGTGATGTTTTATTTTGTGGATTCGGACAAGCAAAGAGTCAATAAAAGTTTATTTTAAAAATAATGGTTATATATATATGTATATATATATATATATATAAAATAATGGTTATAAAAATGACCCCGAGGTGCGTGCCTCACCAAACTATGATCAAAGACTTGGAGGGCACAACCCTGGGTGGCAGCCTGACGAATGCTCAATTACAAGGAATTTTATTTATTTGGTTTATTTAAAAAGCATCGTTCATCCACCTAAGGGTTAACCTGAGGGCATAAATTACTAAGCCTATGGTGAAAATTTGACATCGTTGGGACATAACTCACAGCGTGGGCTGCTGACCTAGGATAACCAGGCAGCAAACCCTTCGACTATGGCCTCGAAAAGAAACTAGAGGGGAGGCCTCCCCAATGAAGGGATCTATTCAGGTGGATGTCGAAGGGGTCGAAATTAAAAATTTTTAAAGATAGGATGAATATCTCCTCGTTGCGCAACCAACGAGGGTAACCACCGATAAGCAACAACGCGGTGGGCCGCAGCTCCGGTCTGATCGGCAGGACTGTGGTGGGTCAGGATGAAGACCGCCGTCCTCCTGTATTAGGCTTCGGGCAGGACGACAGACAACTTTGGATCATTATATCAAGAGTTGAACACCCAAGGTCTCGGTTAGGACTCGCGTTTAACGGGTTGAGTTCGTACGCGAACACCGGCCCTGAAAACAACCAACGAATACCTGGACCAAAGACTAAGGGTGTGGGTCAAGGAAAGGTGCGTTTGTCATACTTAACTATTTCATGTAATGTAGTACAGATCAAGTGTCCCCACTCTCGATCATTATATTTTATGTGGGAGACCCGGGTTAAATCCCCGCGGTAATAATGAAAAGTAAGGTGACAGCGTCAATCCTGAAACCACATTTCATTCCAGGGTTCGGATTTGACGAATTGCTTGTCGGAAAACACCTATGTGCATACAGTTCTCCGAGCGACGGGGACGTCTCTTAATGAGGTCTGGGATACTGTCGGGCAAAATACCCTTACAAGGGTATTTTGCCATGATTTTGCATTCGTCAAGGTGATGGCGTCAGCCGCCGTGACGTAGCCAGTCTGGAACAAGAAGGGTGTTCACGCTTGGCGTGACGCTGAAAGCAAAACCCTCGACCACTGAGGTCGGGGGAAGAATCGGTAAGAAAATTCCGTTAAAGAATGCACGCGCGTTATTATGACGCACGCCAAGGTGATACCCCTCGACAGAAGAGGTCGAAGGGACAGGTAGGTTTGTGATTGTGTCGGAAATGTCTACGACGCACGCTGAGACGTAGGTTGCTACCTATCTACGTGCTGGTACTGGGTGTCTAAAAGTGTCAACTTGTCTTCTTAAACTCGACCTCCGAGTCGAGTGCTCGCTGCATCTACCTCTACTTAGTAAGGTACCGGTCTACCCGCCACTTGAGTGTTTTCCCGCCACGACCATCAATATCGTGGCCACGGCCAAATACCGGCCGACCTGCTACTTGAAAGTTCCCCCCCCCCCCGGTCCTCTATATGCACCTGAGTTGCTCCCTTTCTAACCAGAATAGGAGCTAGCTCAGTTGGTTTAGATACAGTTGTCAAGCGGTGGACGCAAGGAACGAATCCCACCGCCCTCTGAGCTAGCTCCCTTTTTTACAAGAGCTTTACCTTTATTTTACCCAGGTTTAAATGGTCGGGACTCGATCCACGACCTCTCTATCTGGGTTAGTTGTGTTGGTTGCCTCGTTGAAACGAGACACCACGTTAGGCAGTTAGTAGTAGTTCTCATTTGAATTCGTTCATTTTATTTTATTTTCTTTTGTTGATTGATTCCTTTACCCGTAGCTTCTATTTCCTGATTCACGCAAGTCAATCTGCACCCGGAAGACGGGCTGATGCAGCCGGAGAAAGAAAGAAGCCCGACCAGCCTACCGTACGGCATCAGCCTATAGCACGAAGGGCCCCTCATCAAGGAAAGAGCAGACCGCAGCAAGATCGTCCGCGCAGAGCAAGATCGGAGATCAGGCGCGCAATAGCCAGAGGGAGCGCAGGGGGGCGAGGAAGGCAGAACGCGAGAAAGACGAGGAGAGAGCACTCGTAAGAAAGTAGAAGGAGGAGGAAAGTAAGAAGGAGGAGGAAGTAAGAGGAGAAAAGAGAAGGGGAAAGGGTTCGTCGTAACAAGGATAGACTGTTGTAACTATTGATCTTGAACGACGAAAGCCTAGTAAGCGCGAGTCATCAGCTCGCGCTGATCACGTCCCTGCCCTTAGTACACTCCGCCGTCGCTCCTACGATTGAGGGGGGGGGCGGTGAAGTGTCTGGATTGAGGCGATCTCGACAGTCTGCCGCCAGGGTGAAGTTCGTGAGGCTTTATTACGTAGAAGAAGAAGAAGAAGAAGAAGAAGAAGAAGAAGGAAAAGGGAGAGAAGGAAGCAAGACAACGACAGCGCGAAGAAGAAGAAGAAGAGGGAGAAGAAGAGGAAGGAGGAAGGAGAGAGAGAGCAAGGAGGGGAAGACTTACCTTCCTCACAGACGTCGACGAACAGACTGACTTCAACGATGGCTCAACGACGACGAGAAGCGAGATAGAAAACATGTACGCCTTCAATATTGTGGCTTACCTCATAATACATCAATAGGATAAAACAAAATAAAAATAAATAAATAAATAAATAAATATATATATATATAAATAAAATAATAAAATCAGATGAATCTAACGCTAGGACAAGAATACATATGTTACTACACTATACGTATGTGTATGCGTACATGAGTGTGTGTGTATAAATGTGTGTGAGATAGAGAGAGAGAGAGAGTTTTCCTTCTTCCTCTTCTAAGTCCACCATCTCTTTCTCACCCTCTCGCCACCTGACTTCTCAGTGTCAGCAGACTACGACAGAGAGAGAGAAGATTGGAGATTTGAGACTTGACGACATTGGATCCAGACTCGACATGGGATACAGACGTTTTGACGAGGGACTATTTGGGCCTGTGCCGAAGACTTGGCGTTGACGACGTTCCCATCTTCCCCTCTTCTACGTCTAACCTCCCTCTTCCTCGTCAGGGTATGGTCGGGGCTGGCGCAGTCTTCCTGCGTAAGGCGCCGCACCCCTTTTCACCATGGAATGATGATGATGATATATGATCGGGGCTGCATTGCAATATTAATTGTTCAGATCTATCTACGTCTTCCGCTACGTTATCTCGTACTTGTACGAGGGGTCGGCTCTAGTTCTAGTCAGCACCTTTATAGTATACAACCGTGTGTGTGAGAGTTTGTGTGTGCGTGCGCGCATGTGTGTATGTGTATGGGGGAGAGAGATTGGAGAGGGAAAGAGAAGGAGGAGGAGAGAAAGGGGGACGATAAGTCTCCAACCTTGGCCAACAGCCAACTCTTAAGCCATGACTCGCCACGCGCTACCTAGATCGATAGAATGAGCAAATCAAAAGTGGCAGTGCATATTGCCACGTTTCAGCGGAAGATTCATTCCGTTTTTGCTCATCCTATCGATGGAATGCTTGTGTGTGTGTATGTGTGCGTGCGTAAGTACGTGGGCACGCGTGCATGCGCGAGAAATGTGTGTATGAGAGAGAGAGAAAGTGGAGAGAAAGAGAAGAGAGAGAGAGATCGGGCGGAGGCCAGAGGTGCTTACCTGTAGCGCCATTGCTCCAGCTTCGTCTTCAAGGTACCTGCAACACGCGCCGAAGTCTCAGGTTAGTACTTGGCTCGAAACACAGAGAGAGAGAGAGTTTTTCTTCTTCCTCTTCTCAGTCCACCATCTCCCTCTCACCCTCTCGTTATCTGACTTAACTGCATCAACAGACTATGTGTGTGAGAGAGAGAGAGAGAGACGGACCTGGGCCATCAACTAAGTCTCTACCCCACGGCTCGTCGCACGCTACTTGGATCGATAGGACGAGCTAATCAAAAGGGTGACAATGTATATTTCCACG